TCTGACGGAACCATCCAAATAGCATGACGGGCCAACTGTGAAAACCTCATCTCGTACTGAGTCACTGTCATATCCCCCTGTGTCAACCACTCAAACTGCCTACGCAGCTCCTCTCTGCGGGACTGAGGTCCATATTTCTCCAGAAAAAGAGCGGAGAACTGCTGCCAAGTCAGAGGTGCTGCACCGACAGGCCTACCCCTCTCAAAGTCCTCCCACCAAGTAAGAGCAGTTCCCGAGAACTGAAAAGTAGTAAATGCCACACCACTCGACTCAAGGATCCCTGCCGTATGGAGCATACGCTGACATCTGTCAAGAAAACCGTGGGCATCCTCGCCCTCAACACCACCGAATGTCGGAGGCTGGAGCCTACCAAACCTCTCGAGATGACGCTGCTCATCGTCTGGCATAGCTGGAACCACGAAGCCCTGAACTGGTGCAACCTGCTGAGCTGGAGGTGCCTCTGGTGTCTGTAGTCCCTGCACCACCTGCTCAGGTGTGCGAGCAACGGGGGTCTGATTGCCTCCCCCGGCCTGTGAAGTAGCTGCTGCTGCTGTGGTGGCTGAAACTGCTTGAGCCAGGCCAGTGCAGACTAATAATATCTGTGCCAAGGTCTCCTGAAGACCCGGAATCATGATAGGCACAACTGGTGCCTGAACATGTGCTGCTGGAGTATCCACAGCTGGAGCCTGATCCTGAGCTGGGGCAACTGGTGGATCAGCAGGTGCTGCCCCGGCTGTTCTGCCTCTGCCACGACCACGACCGCGTCCACGGCCTCTGGCGGCCTCAGTAGGTGGCACTGGTGGTCGTCCATCACGTCCGATAGCTCGTGTCCTCACCATCTGTGAAAGAATAGAATAATAGAAGTTTAGTTCTCAGTTCAACAAAGCCGCACGATAAGAGTTTCAAAAATGTGGAGTTTTCCTAAAGGTTCTGCAGCCTCCCGAGGATAAGTACAGACGTCTCCGTACCGATCCACGAGACTCTACCAACCGGCCCATGACCCGCGAGACCAAGTAACCTAGGCTCTGATACCAACTTGTCACGAACCCAACCCCGGTCGTGATGGCGCCCAACACACTGCTAGGCAAGCCCGACCATTTCGACAGCCTTAACCAATTAATCACAGTTCATGAATTAATTAACACAGATAGATTACTAAGTCATAATACTAAAATCCGAAAATAGAGTTACACATACGAAAATCCCAAAATATAAACCAACTACACGGCCCGAAGAATCCGGTGCCACAAGTCTGAGCCTCTAATACATGAGTATCAACCTACTACATATCGTTCTCTAGAAATGCGGAAATTAAAGCAATAAGATAGAAGGAAGATCACGACTGCGGACGTCACATGCAGCTACCTTGAAACTCCCAGATATGATGCTAGGCAGAGAAATCCTCACACAGCCTCAGGTGTACCTGGATCTACACGCAAGGTGCAGGGAGTAATGTGAGTACTCCGACCTAGTGAGTAATAAACATAAATAAAGGCTGAGAATAAGAAATCCTGAATAGGCACAAAGTAATTCTATAAATACAGCAACTTGAACCTAGTAGTATAAAATCAGTAAATCAGTGAAAACAATTATGGAAATACCACAACGGATAAATAAGTAAATGACAATCAAATATGCAATGCAACACATAGACCGGTACTCTCCAGTACCCGCTGCAGCGTGCAGCCCGCTCCATTTATTTATCGTCGACCGCGCTCACTAGGGGTGTGCAGACTCCGGGAGGGGCCCCTTACGGCCCAAGCGCAATAATAAGCCATCTCGTGGCATCAACTAGGCCCTCGGCCTCATATCAATATCAATACAATACCGCTGCGGCGCGCAGCCCGATCCCAAACTCAGTCCAAAATCACATAAGCCCCTCGGGCACAATAATATAGAAATATTCAGCCCAAACTTCATCAAAAATATTAATTAAGTTTCAAGTTTAAGAAAAGGTAGCTGAGTTTGCAAAACAGTATTAAATACTAGGACTGAGTTCAATGATATGTAAAAATGGTAAGAAACCAGCAATAACAATCCCTAAAGGATTCAAACAATTGGCACGAAGCCCAATTATAGCAATCAACTCAATTAAAATGATAATAAGTGAATTTCAGTCAAATACGCAGTATATTCATCTACCGGGACGGACCAAGTCACAATCCCCAATGGTTCTCTACCCCACGCTCGCTACCCGGCGTGCAAGTTACCTCAATATAGCACTACGATGTGCAAATACGGGGTTTCAAACCCTCAGAACATTATTTACATCTATTACTCACCTCAAGCCGGCCAAAATTCTAGCTCGCTATGCCCTTTCCTCTCAAATCGACCTCCTCACGCGTCGAATCTGACCAAAACCACAACGAATATGTCACAATATGCCAATGGAACAATACCCACTCGAAAACAATCGAAAAATAACGAAAATCTCGAAATTAGCAAAACCAGAGCCCCAGGCCCACTTCTCAAAAATTAGAAAATTTAACATCAGCGGACTCCTTATCTCGCCACGAGTCTATACATATAAAGATTACCAAAATCGGAGTCCAAATGACCCCTCAAATCCCAATTTGAAATATTAAAACTCAAGCCCTAGTTCTTCCCCTTTTTGCTAGGTTTCCATGGACAAAAATCAGAAAATTTAACATCAACGGACTCCTTATCTCGCCACGAGTCTATACATATAAAGATTACCAAAATCGGAGTCCAAATGACCCCTCAAATCCCAATTTGAAATATTAAAACTCAAGCCCTAGTTCTTCCCCTTTTTGCTAGGTTTCCATGGATTTCAAGGTCAATTTCACAATAAAATCGTGTTTTTAGTTCATAGGGCTTACCTCCAATCAATCCCAGTCGAAATCCTCTTCAATTCCCGTCCAAAAGCTCTCAAGGATGCTCAAAAATGGTGAAAATAGGACTTAGTTCGCGGATGAAATATTTATTAAAACCCTTCTGTCTAGTGATGATTTCCTCTATGCGAATGCGAGGGTCCACTCGCGTTCGCGATGAACAAAATTGCTTCTAACAGAAATAGCCTACGCGAACGCGTACACCTCCACGCGAACGCGAATGGCAACTGCCCTGGGACCCAACTCCTTTACGCGAACGCGGACCTTCTCCCGCGAACGCGAAGCTTGATCAGCTAACCCTCCGCTATCGCGAGTCCTCCAACGCGAACGCGAAGGTCAAAAATCCTGGCTCTCAAATTCCTTCTACGCGAACGCGATGTCCCACTCGCTTTCGCGAAGACCAAAATCCTGCTGCACTGACTGCTGCATTTCTACAGCATTTTTCCAAGTTCAAACCTCCCGTTAGCCATCCGAAATCACCCCGAGGCCCCCGGGACCTCAACCAAAAGCACTAACACATCCTATAACATCATTCAAACTTGTTCCAATCATCAAAATACCTCGAACAACACTAATACCATCGGTTCTCATCGAATTCAAGCCTAAGTTCTTTAAAAACTTCCGAAACACGCATTCGATCAAAAACCCAACCAAATCACCTCCGAATGACCTGAAATTTTGCACACACATCCCAAATCACATAACGAAGCTACAACAACTCTCGAAATTCCATTCCGACCCTCGGATCAAAATCTCACCTATCAACCGAAATTCGCCAAAATACTAACTTTGCCAATTCAAGCCTAATTCTACACCGGACCTCCAAAATTACTTCCGACCACACTCCTAAGTCACAGATCATCCTCCGAAGCTAACCGAATCATCGGAATTCATATCCGAGCCCTCTAACATATAAGTCAACGTCCGGTTGACTTTTCCAAAATAAACCTTCCTTAAAGAGACTAAGTGTCTCATTTACTTCTAGAACCAATCCAAATCAACTTGTTCACACCCAACACTGATAATGAAGCATAAAGAAATAGAAAAACGGGGGAAACGGGGGGGTAACTCACGTGACGACGGGTCGGGTCGTCACAACAAAGTTGTAGTAGGTTAGCATTGTATACATATTTGGCTTCTCAAAAATGCCCTTAGATTTTAATATCAGCACATTAGCATAGGAGGCTTTTTGGTCATTTCACAAATTAAACCAAACAATTGTTCCCTCGATTCCCCCATCTCCCTATTCTCTCTTATCCTTGTCTTCTTCCCCACCGTCTCTTAGACCCAGATTGTTATCTTCAGTTCAACTAAAGCATAAGTCAAATATTCAACAACAATTAACAATGGCCCATAGATGCCGATATGTTTTGGAACTTTCTTATTTTTGTCAACTACTACCAATATAAATTTGGTATGAAATATCATGAATAATTAGAAAACTGCAAATTGGTCGAGAAGCCTATTACTCGTTTTCACATGCCACGTAGAAAAATTATAGATTGAATCTTATAAAGAGAAAAAAGAAAAAGCAACGAGGGAGAGAGGGGTCATAAATCAATTGAATCTTACAAAGAAGAAAAGCAGAAGAGAGGTACCAATAGAAAACGTTAAGATTAGGAAACGGCGGTCTGAAGAGATGAAATGAGAAGCTCTAGGGTAATAATAAGAAAGGACACGTGGCAAGTGGAGAAGATAGCTAATATTAGATCAAGGGCCTAGATAAGAAGTTAAATCAACGGCGGAGATCGAAAGTACAACTTCATCTAAAGGTACAGAATTTAGGAGCAGTTAGAGACTTGGGATGTTATAACAGAATTGGGCTGGCCCAACGAATTCAGTTTTGGACTGGTATTCATTTTCCTCTCTTTCTCTCTTGTTTCTTTCTTGATTCTCTCTTCTTCTTCTTCTTCTTCTTCCTTTCCTAATTCCTTCTTCTTTTCTAGGTTGAATTCATCAATGGAGTTGCAGATTAATCCTTAGATTTGTAGTTTCCATTGTAATTTCAACAGAATTGTAATAATCATTCGATTGGCTACTGAATTCTAATAAAGTTTTCTATCATTTCTCAATTGTTCATCTATTCACAATTCAAAAATAGTAAGTCCATTACAATTGGTATTAGAGCACTTTCCTGGCCAAATTACGATGACAGGAGCAAAAGCAAGATCAAAATCTACAGATGAATCAGTTAAAAAGCTGAAAGCTCAACTACAAAGTTACATGATATCTAATGATTCGAGGATTGATGAATTAGGTAACAAAATCGATAAGTTGTTGGAGAAGATGATCGCACCACAAGGAGGAATCCTGGGGAGTGCACCAGCTGAAGGAATGCAGATTATGGGGTCTGGTAGTCGAACTCTAGCTGGAGAAAATGGTGAACCTTTATTTGGTCGATCTCAGGGAAACTTTTCTCATTCCAAATGGGAAATTCCATATTTTGAAGGAGTAGATCCTTGTGCTTGGTTGCGTAAATGTGAGAGGTACTTTCAGTACAATCACATAACTTATCCACAGTAGAAACTGGAGGAAGCTGTACTTCACCTTAACTGTAAGGTAGAATCCTGGTTCTTTTCCTATCATGTTAGCAAGGGTATAGTTAGATGGGCCAATTTTACCGCAGAAATCTGTAATAGATTTGAAGGTGCAACTAACAGTAAACTGAATCTTATTGGTGAATTTAAAAACATAGAACAAAAAGGGACTGTTAATGAATATTTGGAGCAATTTGAAGACTTGAAGGCTTGGGTGTTGATTAGGAACCCAACTATACCTGAGGATTTCTTCTTAGAGTTTTTCATTGAAGGACTCAAGGAAGAAATTAGACACTCTGTTAAGCTGTTAGAACCATATTCATTCAGTAAGGTTGTGGAGAAAGCTAGACACCAGGAGAATATGATTGAGTTCTTGAACAAGAAGGAAAAGGCACAAAGGAATAGGGGTTTAACTACAAACTACTCTGCCCAGACCATTAAAGCACCTAATAGCTCAGTGAGTAGTCAAGGCAACAAATTGTTTGAGACTAGGAGGGCCCAAGGACTTTGTTACAAGTATGGGGAGAAGTATCATCCTGGACATCAATGCAAACAGAGATAATTAAATGTTATCTCTGCTATCACTGATCAGGAGGCAATTGAAACAGGTGAAGCAGGAATTGAAGAAACTGAGCCATACTTACAAGAGGAGGAAGTAGTTGATGAGGCAATTAGCCTAAATGCCTTGTCAGGAACTGAGGTTCCTAATACTATTAAACTGAGAGGTGAATCTAAGAAAAATAGTATGTCAATTTTGCTGGACTCAGGGAGTACACACAGTTTTTTGGACATGGAAACTGCTAAAGAAATGGGATGTGCAATCAAGGAGACCTCTCCCATGAGGGTTACTGTGGCTAATGGGAATCATGTGATGAGTTATCACACTTGTCCCACCTTTAAATGGAAGATTCAAGGGGTTGAATTTGAAGATTCAGTGAGGTTGATTAGATTGGGAGGAAATGAAATGATTCTAGGAGGGGACTGGATGAAAAAACACAACCCTATACTCCTAGATTTCATAGAGTACAAGGTTGAAGTGACTCACAAAGGGAAAATAGTGGAGCTGAAATGGATTTACAGTCAAGGGGAGCTAAAAGGTATGTCTGCCTATGGGGTGAAACAACTACTCAAAAAAGGGAAGACAGTTTGGGCTCATCTATTCACCATTTCAGCAACAGAAGAGCAAAAAGAAGGGGAAATACCTGCAGAAATCAGCACACTCCTCCATCAGTATGTGGATGTATTTGCTGAGCCTACTTCCTTACCTCCCAAGAGGAATCATGACCATCACATTCCCCTGAAAGCAGATGAAATCCAGTCAGTATCAGGCCATACAGGTATAAATTTTTTCAAAAAAAATAAAATAGAGAAACAAGTCAATGAGATGTTGCATAATGGTCTAATACAACCCAGTCATTCTCCATTTTCTTCTCCTGTGCTATTGGTTAAGAAGAAAGATGGTAGTTGGAGGTTTTGTATTGACTATAGAGAATTAAATAACATGACTATTAAGGATAAATTCCCAATCCCTTTAGTGGAAGACTTAATGGATGAGCTATGTGGATCAAGTGTGTATTCTAAGATTGACTTAAGGGCAGGCTATCACCAAATCAGAATGGGAGAAAGTGATATATACAAAACTGCATTTAGAACTCACTTGGGTCATTATGAGTTTAGGGTCATGCCTTTTGGCTTGACCAATGCACCTGCCACCTTCCAATCTTTAATGAATCATGTATTTCAGCCCTACTTGAGAAAGTTTATTTTAGTATTTTTTTATGACATATTGGTCTACAGTCCTTCTATGTCAACTCATGTCATCCATCTCACAAAGGTATTGGAAGTATTAAGAACTGAACAACTCTTTGCTAAGCTGTCCAAGTGTTCTCTTGGACAACTTAAGGTGGATTACTTGGGTCACATTATCACTAGGGAAGGAGTGTCTACTGACCCCTCTAAGATTGAGGCCATGTCTAAACGGCCTATTCCTAATTCAATTAAGGCTTTGAGAGGGTTCCTAGGGCTGACAGGATATTACAGGAGGTTCATTAAGTCATATGGAATCATTAGCAAACCACTGACAAACTTGTTGAGGAAAAATGCCTTTCAGTTGAATTTAGAGGCTGAACAAGCATTTTTTCAGCTTAAGAAAGCTATGACAACAGCCCCTGTACTGACATTAGCAAACTTCACTAAACCATTAATTTTTTGAAACTGATGCATGTGATAAGGGAATGGGTGCAGTGTTAATGCAGGAAGGCAGACCTATTGCCTTCTTCAGTAAAACATTAGCCCCTAGACACATGGGGTTATCTACTTATGAGAAGGAGTACATGGCTGTGTTATCTGTAGTTGACAGGTGGAGACACTACTTACAGGGGAGTTATTTTATTATAAAAACTGACCATCACAGTTTAAAATATTTGTTGGAGCAAAGAGTGACTACTGCATTACAGCAAAAAGGTTTAACTAAGTTGTTGGGGTTGGACTATGAGATACAGTACAAAAGAGGGGCTGAAAATAAAGTAGCAGATGCATTGTCCAGAAGACAAGAGGAGGAGTCTGAATTGTGTGCTGTTTCTACCGTGGACCTACATGGATGAAAGAGATAGAGATGAGTTATGAGCATGACCCCATGGCAACACAACTCATAACTGAATTAATCACAACACCTGGAGTCAAACCTAAATATGCCTTAACTCAAGGAGTTATTAGGTGTGAAGGAAAGATTTTTGTGGGCAGAGGAGCTAATCTGAGGCTGAAGATTTTTGAGGCATTACACTTATCTCCCTTAGGGGGTCATTCTGGGCAGCAGGGAACTTATAAAAGGGTTCAAGCTATCTTCTACTGGCCTAATATGAAAGCTGATATTACTAAATCGGTGTCTGAATGTGACACTTGCCAAAGGGTCAAGACTGAAAATGCGCATCCTGCAGGGCTTTTGCAACCACTTCCTATTCCTGAATTTTCTTGGCAAGACATAGCCATGGATTTTATTGAGGGACTACCTTCCTCGATTCAAAAGAATGCTATCCTGGTTGTTATTGACAGACTCACTAAATATGGACACTTTTTGGCCTTAAAACATCCTTACACAGCCAAGGATGTGGCCAGTCTTTTCTTGAAGGAGATTTATAAACTTTATGGTCTCCCTAAGACTATAGTCTCAGACAGAGACTCTGTTTTTACTAGTCAATTTTGGCAGCAGCTGTTTAAAACCTTGGTACTAAACTTACAATGTCCACTGCCTACCATCCCCAAACCGATGGGCAGACTGAAAAACTTAATCGTTGCTTGGAATCCTATCTCAGATCTATGGTGTTCTCTGAGCCTAAAAAATGGGTTACATGGCTTTATTGGCTGAGTGGTAGCACAACACCAACCACCACATCTCCTTGAAAACTACCCCTTTTCAGGCTCTTTATGGATTTGCTCCACCCCAGATTCCATTGGGTTCTCTTCCCCAGCCCTCACACTCACAGGTTGGAGCATGTATTGCACATAGACAACAATTGCTACAACAGCTCAAGGAGAACCTAGTACAGGCCCAAGCCCGTATGAAGTTCTACGCAGACAAGAATAGGACTGATAGAGTCCTCAACGAAGGCGACCTTGTCTACCTTAAGCTTCAACCTTATAGACAAGCGTCTATGGCATTACGGAAGAATTTGAAATTATGTGCTAAGTACTATGGGCCTTATACCGTATTAAAAAGGGTAGGGTCAATCGCTTACCAGTTGGATCTGCCTCCAGGTTCACAGATCCATCCCGTCTTCCATATCTCTCAACTGAAGCGTCGAGTAGGACCGTCGATACTGCCCAGCCATCAACCACCAGTATGTGACAACGATGGTCGTGTTCTTGTGCAGCCTCTAGCCATTTTGAAGCGCCGGATGGTGAAGTTTAATAATGCTGTTGCAGTTAAGGTGTTAGTCCATTGGACTAATCTGAGTATCGTTGAGGCAACTTGGGAAGATTGGGGGTATATTAAAGGTCAGTTTCCAGCATTTGCAGCTCAGTTCCGACCTTGAGGACAAGGTCGATTTCAACGAGGAGGTATTGTTAAGATTAGGAAATGGCGGTCTGAAGAGATGAAATGAGAAGCTTTAGGGTGATAATAAGAAAGGACACGTGGCAAGTGGAGAAGATAGCTAATATTAGATCAAGGGCCTAGATAAGAAGTTAAATCAACGACGGAGATCGAAAGTACAACTTCATCCAAAGGTACAGAATTTATGAGCAGTTAGAGACTTAGGCTGTTATAACAGAATTGGTCTGGCCCAACGAATTCAGTTTTGGACTGGTATTCATTTTCCTCTCTTTCTCTCTCGTTTCTTTCTTGATTCTCTCTTCTTCTTCTTCCTTTCCTAATTCCTTCTTCTTTTCCAGGTTGAATTCATCAATGGAGTTGCAGATTAATCCTTAGATTTGTAGTTTCCATTATAATTTCAACAGAATTGTAATAATCATTCGATTGGCTGCTGAATTCTAATAAAGTTTTCTATCATTTCTCAATTGTTCATCTATTCACAATTCAAAAATAGCAAGTCCATTACAGAAAACGAGAAATTGAATTTTACAAAGAGAAAGGAAAGAAAAAAATTGAAGAGACAGAGAGGCCAGATCGAGAGAGAATAGCGAGGAAGCAAAATTGGAGAAGGTTGAAGAGAATCATATTTGTTTATGGCAAAAAGACGAAAAGCCCCTCTCAACAATGAAGTTATCATTAAAATCTAAGGGCATTTTTGAGAAGCCAATATGTATACAATGCTAACCTACTACAACTATGTAGTGGGTTAGCAAAACCCCCCCCCACACACATATATATATATATATATATATATATATATATATTATAATTTATTCCCTGTTTTAAAATTCTCATATTACAATTTCGGTATATCTTGTATGCAAACCAAAAGACCCCTAATTATTAAACGACACGTGTTACATTCTAAAATGGTACTATACCATGGTCTCGAGTTCAGTGCCACTCTAACATCTCCCGTGCGGCCGTGCTTAACCCTAAAAGGGTTTACACTAATAGAGGGCTGAGGGATAGGCAACATACAAAGTCGAAAGACACCTGTAGTCAGAGCACAAAATATGTGAAAATGGAAGCTAAACTTGAGTATCAATCTAATAGATATCTGAGAAACTATGTTTAAATTCCTAGGAAATGATTATAACAGCTGCTGTCCACTCCAACCAGAACATTAGCAGTGTCCGTTCGGTTAAAATGAAGCTCAAACCACATCATGAAATTGAATATTGCTGAATAAAAGAATATGATAGACAAACCATGTTTTCCTATTGAGGCAAATTCTTCGGGTATAAGAGCTTTCATAAAGAAAAGCTAGTGTTATCAAAAGCGAAAACCGCAAAAACGCTCTAACGCCGGTGGGGCTTTAAGTGCAAATAAAGTATGAGCTTTAATGAAGAAAGGAGCAAATGGAGAAACACCACAAATATGTATGTGTAGTCCAAGACAAAGAAATTTTATGATAAGATATGAATTGTTTAGTGTCATCTCTTAAGGATTACACTCATTGGCAAGGAAAAGTATGCCTTAGAGCCTTGATGACAATACTGAAGAGCCCGCTAAGCGAGACGAAGCGCTCAACATGTTTTGAGCCTCGATTCAGGGCTTAAGCGCCACCTTTGATAACACTGAGAGAAACTAATCTAAAGGTTACCACCAAGCTGACTTCTCCAAGCTAGTTCAGCAACAGCAACCACTAAACTAAGGAGAATGTGAATGGATCTGTGAACTGATATATTATTTGTCCACACTGAAACTAGAAAAACTCAAGTGTTAAATCCCTCAATAAACAAGAAATTTACACCATCCTTGATATGAGAACTAAGATCACACTGGTGAGGCATGTTTACGAATGCAACCAGAGGTACTGCGCATTACAGCTTCACAATCCAAGCCAAGGAAGCTTTAGAAAGAGAATTTCTCAAACAAATTGTAGAGAACATTTCAAGCCGTGATCTCTCTGATCAGCCACTCTAAAGCAGGATAGGCAAAGTACAATACTAGGAAAGATGGAAGTCCAAAGAGAATGGTGATCACTAAATAGAGTGCTAGAACAGCTGCACAGGAGGGTATTGCAAACATAACAAGTAGAAGAAGCACAATAACTAATGGAAACTTGGATGTAAGGCGGATAAAGGATTCGAGGGACTTATGAAGAGAAAAGTGGGCCCTGTTCAATGCAGGGGTACCACCGCTATGGTTATAACCACCGGCGTTAGACCCTGGAGATCCTGGAAGATGAACCCTCCTGTAGTTCATGACAGAGGTGTTGTTCCCCATAACTGAAGTACACCGGACGGACCACTCTTGTTGATGATCCCTACATATGGCAGATGGATACTTCACCCTGTCACCATTTCGGCTTTCCACCATCCAGAGGAGGAAAAAGTTCTTGCTAGGAAATTTGAGATTCCCGTTGAATGCCAATCGAAATGTCAACAAATTGCACCATGGGCAGGAAATGAATAATGGAATCTGAACCTGTTGGGTGGAAACCTTCATAGAAGCAGGCTTAAGTCCCAACAGACAGTTCTTGCAAAGCGTGTGACCACACCACAAGACATAGGGGATGTTCTCTACAATGTTAAAAGACTCCCAGCATATTGGGCATTCAAGCCCTTCCTCAGAGCTGGCATTAGAACAGGCATCGTCGTCGTCATCTGAGAATCCATGGCAAGCTTGACTGGGCTCACCAGATTCCTTCTTCTGTCCAAAGCTTGTGATGGCATTTGAAATAGATCTCCACATATCAGGGAGCAACTTAAATTGCTATTGCTTACAATTATTTGAGTTTGCAACTTGGCTTATACTTGTATATGGTACTAAAAAGACGAGCCCAACCTTCAGAGTAGCACGCCTCTTGGTTCAATCTTAAACACTTCTTGCTTCTGTTTTGAACCTGAATAACACTGAAGATAACTAGTTATTAATCGACCATGTCTAAATGATAGAAAACTTAAAAAGCACAAGCAATAACAGATTAAAATAAGAGCTGGATTGTGTTTACGCCTCCTTATTAATCAAGGCCTCTCACATAAATGGCAAATACAAACTGTTGCACTTTATTGTCCCACTGCCTTTTATTAACCACCAGCCAAATACAGGAAAGATTCATTCCCTAAAGAACTAGCAAAATAGATCAGTATTTACTTAGTATTTCAATGTTAGAAGTTTTGACATTTGTTACATTCTTTTTTTAATAACTAAGAACTACCTGAGGATTAGCTGGTGCACGGTTCGAAACTCGGTGGATAAAGGCCCTACCCCTCTATCCTTCTCCACTTAAATACTAGGCTTTGGTCCATGGCAAGGTTCAAACTTGTGATGTGCGCCTAACTTCTGACAATGTTCACATTCTAATTCACTTGTATAGTTATAAGCCCCACCACAAAATAGGCTAACAAAACTGATAATACGCAAAAGGGATAATCATGACAAAATAGTCGGTGCTCATCTAGTACTTGTTTAAGTGTGCCAGCCGTCTAAATGAACAATATATTTATCAATGAACTGAACATTAATCCTAAATTAGTTGGGCTGGCTATATGAATTCATTGTATCCTTTCTGCATTATTCAGGTCAGTATTAAGAGGATTTATCATAGTTAGAACCTTAGGACTTCAAACGCCCAAAATTCACATAGGCTTCATCTTCAAAGTAAACAGTTATCCATTTATAAAATTTTCCTCCATCAATGGATATATCTTAGTTATACATTCATCAGTCATGACTAAAAGATGTACTATATAAGAAGGATGTTATTTGGCATCAATTGACTATCTAAAAGATCAAAGCTTTCTTTTACTTTTTGTTTCAAACTCAGTCATTCAAATCAATCAATCCCTATCCAGTTGGGTTCAGCTATATGAATCCACTCTATCCATTCCACACTACTCAAATCCAAATTCACAGATCATATCCGTATATGAGCTTAAATATATCAGGACATTGTCTTCTAATCATTAGCATATAAAAGCAAATAAACAGAAAACCAAAAAAGATTCCCAAAAATAAAGAAGATTTTTTAAAAAAACCATGAATCTTGAGTCCCACATACTTAGGGAATCAATTGTACGGCATCAATCACAGGATTCTTACATAAATTCCTTTATCTTACATGCATGCATGCATGCAAAATACAATTTCCAGATAAAAGTGATGCGTATAAGGTTAATTCGGAGGACAATTTGGATTTTAATCCTTCGTAAAATACAGGGCAAAATAGAAAAATTCGACAATCTTAGTTCGCAGATTNTAGAGTTTATACTTCGTAAATACAAGGCGAAATAGAAAAATTACGACAATCTTAAGTTACGTCAGATACTCACAACAAAAAAAAAAAAAAAAAAAAAAAAAAAAAAAAAAAAAACTGTTTAATATGCTAAGAGTGTGATGAAACTTACTTGTATTGGGATTTGTGAAATATAAATATGATATAATTGGAGAATTCTCCATAAATAGGAGAGAGATCAGAAGAGAAATGGATTCTCTCTCTCTCTCTATGCTTTCGGAGAAAATTATTAATTGGGGAGATTTTGTCGTCGAATGTCTTTTACCAGAAGACACGCTCATCCAACCATAAACGGTATCGTTCTTGTTTCTTTTTTATTTGTTTTCCTTTTCTGGTATTGATTAGCTTTGTACAATGACTAAATAATGTGGAAGTGTTATAAAACAATAAAAAAAAAGAATATTGCAAAGTAAGAGAGGAATTCTTATTGCTTTGAGATAAATTACAATTAGATTAAATATCTCTATTTATAGGGAAAAAGTGACTTAACCACCCAGTAACAAAACCTAGAATCTCTCTAAAATATAGACATTCATCATAAATACAATTCTATTTATAGCACTCCCCCTAGAATGTCTATTTTATCATATAATGTGCCTCGCTAAAATCTTAACTAAAATGAAACCCAGTGGAAAAAAATTCTAGTGAGGGAAAAAGAGTATACATGTTTAGAAATATGCCTTTTGGTTGCCTCGTTAAAAACCTTGCAAGGAAAATCCAGTAGGACAAAACCTTGTAAGGGAAAAAGAGTACAACGCGTATTAACTTCCCCTGATAAGAGCATCAATTCGCATCCTTGAGCCTTCGCATTCCAATCTTGTGCACTAGCTTATTGAAGGTTGACATCAGCAGAGATTTGGTAAACAAATCAGCCATATTATCACTTGAATGAATATGTTGCACATTGAAATCACCATTCTTGTATATATGTAATCTCTTCATATAATGTCGTGGGATAACCTTTTCAATATCTCCATAGAGGTATTCTCGCTATCACATTATCATGCTTATAGTTATAGCAAGATACATATGTGCACAAATTGCACTTAGGATGTAGTACTTTATGACCATGAATTCTATATGCTTTAAGCAATTTTAAATCCTTCGGGGATTGTTAAGTCATATAATCCAAATAAATAGACTTTAGATGCATATCAAGTTTTCATGTCATGCTAGACATATAAGATAGATAAAGGTGATAGCACACACCATTGACTTTATACTTTCAAGTGTTTGAACTGCAGGTCCAAAATTACATGTCTTTCATATGGAATCAATTCTATTCGAATTGTGTCTCTTCCATTTGGCCGACAATTTTGTGTCTGTATTTGACAGACTTAAGATCCTCATCTATACTTAGTTTCATCATAGATGTCGTCGGCAATTTTATATCGGTTCCAACATTTTTTTTATAAAGACATAACATAGAGATCTCTTCATTCATTTCAGGTACCTGAACCTCTCCTGAGATTTTATGAAGTATTATGTCATGTGATCTTCTAGATCATTTACCTCCTTTTTATGATCATTTGGATCATTTGCTCATCTTCTTTATCAAGAATTTTATTTGAAACCGATTTGTCTATACGCTGTAAGCTTACCATAGACTTTGTCCTTCTAGGACTTATTCTAATACGAGCATTTGTAGTGAGAATATTGTTACTTTTTTGGGTCCGCAAATGCGTTTGGCATACTTTACAACATATTGCAGATGAATTATCTTTTTGTGAGCTTCAAGTTCATATATTTTTATTCGAGGATCTCGATGTACAAATGATAATTCATTCCATGTAACTTTTTCTCAACTGTTTATCCTATCTCCACCTCATGTTAGAACTTGCTTTCTGAACTTTGAACACCCAGCTTTGTGCGTTATGGTATTAATCAAAATATACACCGCACATCAATAATAATAAGATGGAATTATTTGGTTCCTGACCCCGAACCACTTGTGAGGGGAGAATGTAATATATTTTCGTATATAACGTATATCAAACTGATATACATAACTTTATTCTCATAAGCAATAGTTTAACTATTAAGTGGAGTGATGATAGGCTATAATTGCATATTTTAGTCGCCTATTACACTCTAATGTACTGCACTTTAATTGAGTTTGAGCTTTAATCACTAGTGTTTTGCACTAATTGTGTATTTTATGCCTTGTAGGAGTGATTTCGAACTATGTAGATATTATGGAATGAATTCAAGTGATTTGGAGCTTTGAAGTCTAAGTAAAAGCCCAAGGAATTAAACGGGGATCGTGTTCGGGGATCAACGGATGATAGTTAAGAAAGAAACAAAGAATCGAGCGGGCATACAGTGTATTGTCTAGTCAAATGCACATAAATTTTAGCTCAGAATTCCGTTTGGGCTCCACAATATATCGTTGGAAAGCTATTTAAATGTGCTACAACTTTCATGTTTTACGTTTTCTCAAATTCTGACTACCGCAGAGCGTGGAGTGGTGCAGGTCGCGCCGCGCTTGTGGAAAATTCTTGCAGCCTCAGAATCAGCTCTCTGAACTTCCCCACAAGCACACCACGTGGCGCGTTGATCGCTGCCAACTCGACGCTACACCAAGGTAGGAAGAGCGGGTCGCAATAGCTTTTACCCGAATAGAGGTCGGGATCGATTTCCACAGGGAGCTAGTAGTGGAGTTGGATTTTCTGTCTAGTCTAGAGATGTGTTTGTGCTCCTAATGTCACTTCAATCATTCTTGGTTTTTGATTTTATAACTACTATGATAAAACTAATGATTAACGCTAAATTATGCTACTAGAATATTGCAAAGTTGTATCTAATGGGAAGGAAGGCACTAGGGTCGTGGCATTACCTAGGTGGCTAATTGACGGGTAGATGTTACTAAGGATAGATTGACATATTAGGGGCTTATGCTATAACCGTTGCACAATTGTATCCACTCTCACACCTCTCGGTAGAGAAAGTGATTTTGCCCAATTGACTCTCTCGAGACCAATTGGGTAGGCCAATAAGATCAAGCAACTAGGGTTCAAGTAGGGTGATTACTCTCTCGAGATTTAACCCGTTAATTGGGACTATCATTTCTCATGAGTCCATCCCAATTCCTTGTTGGGTCAATTTTGGGGTCATAAACTCTCTTTCTCAAGAAGAGTCAAACCCACAAGCTTGAATCAGTATTCGCAACCACCAATTCTTAAAATTAAAAACATAAAATCAACCCAAATAACAAAACCACCCATAATCAATCTAAACCCTAGATGCAAACACCCTATCAATTACCCACACTAGGGTTGAACACAACCCTAGCTAATTGGGTTTAGCTACTCAATGTTGAAAGAGAAATGAAGAAATAGATGAAGGACTAAGCATTATTAATTAATTACTAAAAAGAAATCACAAGAATCTATGGTAAAATTAAAGCTAAAGTGCCAAAAAATGGCTACCAAAACCGAGTCTCACGATCGCAACTGTATTCTAGAGATAACAATAACCTAAAAATGGTAAAATGTTCGTATTTATACTTTAGGCTTGGAAAAACTGGACAAAAAATACCCCTGCGGGGTCTCAGTGCGGGGCCGCCACAAAAGGACCCGGCCGCACTGGATCTTGGACTTCACATTTATGCTTTCTCTGAACTTAAGGACCGCGGACGCGTGGAAGTGCACCCGCGGCAGCGGTGGAAGTTGCGCGGCCGGCACAAAAATGCATGCGCGGCCGCATTGCTGAAATTGGCAAAATGTGAGCTTCTTCTGAATCTCTGCTTCCGCGGACCGCACAAAAGGAGTTCTATGCGCTGGTCCGCGGAGGCCTGGACCGCGGGACCGCGCTTGAATCGTACCGCGCCCGTTGTTGCCGTCCAGCTTGAAAATGCAACTCTCTGGAACCTCCTAGTTGCGGCCGCATTCACCTTTGCACGGTCCGCCACTAGGTTTCTCTTTTCCTCAATTTACTTAGTTCTTTTGAACACTTGAGGCAAGTTTCACTCCTTTTTTGAGCCGATCTTGACTTCGTCGCTTTGTCTGATCAAACCTGCAATCAAGCACAACTTGCGGTGGGGGCGCAAGCATTTTGAGGACTATTTTGTAGCAATTTATAACCAAAGCATAGGCAAGTAGGGGCATAAAACATGTTTAAAATCCCGACTTATCAACTCCCCCAAACTTAAACCTTTGCTTGTCCTCAAGCAAACAAAATAAGACTCACCCTTAAAGGATAATTCCAAGTAATTCCAGACTATCCTAAGTAGCCTCAACAAGCATTCAATTGGGACTAACCATTGCCCTCCAACACAAATGCGATCATTAACAACATTCAAACCTTTGAAAAACTATGGATCAAGTGTTACACAAGGAGAATCAAAGAATTGACTTCATGTAATCAAAAACTCTCTCCAATACTTTGGTCGCTGTTGGATCCCCAAACTTATACATCCTCACTAATCCCTAAAGCAAACCTCACCTTTTAGAGTATACGCACACAAACGAGGTTAATGGAGTCACTTCGTCTCCTCAAGAAATGGTCACAAGTCCAGCTCTATGGTACCATATGCTTGACCCTCATGTAAGTATCCACTAATGCGGAGAATGTCATCCAACTCAAGATCATTTTTATTAGGCTTTTGTGGGAGTTAATTGTGAAGGCCTTTTGGGTAAGGGTAGGATATGTTTTTGTTCAAGTGGGTTCAATTCTTTCCCTTAAGCACTCTTTTTGATTTCATTGGCACAATTCACTTGACTCCTTTGAGTCATTTCACCTCTTCTAAGGGTTAGAGAGACACTTCGTCACTCTTTCTTACGCAATTTTTCAAAATATTTCTCCTTGTTCTACTTTTCCACACCTTTTTCACTTTTGTTTTCTCTTTGAATCCCTTTTTTTCTCATATTGGGCTTTCTTTTTGTCTTTTTCTTTTATTTCTTTTTTTGCCTTCCTTTTTATTTTTCTTTTGTACCTTTTACCCCTTTTTGTTTCCTTT